CGTAAAAGTGCCGATGTTATGGTCCGAGGTCAATTATTTTAATGTTCGCTAGTTTTTCTAATTAACTGCTTAAAACTACAATGCGCCCTCCATCCCACCCTGTATTATGTTGATTAATTGTGCTCTTTATTCCATTTCCCCTTTGTGATAGTATCGAATTTAACCAGGGTTATGGAAATATGGCTGATGATGGCATTAAACGAATCTCGTTTATTTGTGGTCAAGTATAAAATAACGTCTGGACTTTGCAGCTCTTGCTTGATTTTATTTTATGACGTCTTATAACGCTTGATTGTGTAGTCCCACAATTTACATAACCAGTTTGAACGCACAGCTATCGGAGCTGATTACGAAGGTGCTTTATTTTCTACGATGAACACGAACCCTTAGGAGTCTCAAATGTGGCGAAATTATTCGAGTATTCCTACCCACTGTTTTGTTGATTGCTGTCAGTTTTTATCAGACTGTGATTAGTCGTACAATAATTAAATCAGACCAGTAAGAACCACCTCTGATTCTCAGGGCTACCCAACGGGCCCCCCGGCCCCTACTTACCCGGTACTGGGTCCTACGAGCGGCACGGCTCCTGTTGGATGGAATATTGATCAGACCATCGGCAGCTCTGGCTCTGTGCCCTACCCCCATGATGACGGCGGTGGTGCCGCAGCCCCGGGGTCGGGTTGGACTTCTCAAAATCCCTCTGCTCCTCCTCCACCCTACGCACCTCCTTATCCCCAATAATACCGGTGATTTAGTCTCCGGAAAATTTCCTAATACTCATGTCTTCCAACTTGGCCTAGAGTTCACTTGCACCGAGTTCTTTCTTTCAAGTAGGAACAATGCTTTACATTTACAGTAAAAATCGAGCGCTTACATGTATTAATTTATGCAAACATTTTTAATAAACTATATTGTTCCTAGTGTCGTTCGTAGTTGGAACAAGTGTAGTGCTAGAGCTGCAACGTCTGTCAGAGTTGTGACGTTGTTCCCTCAAAATCAATTTAATATCCCCACAATGGTACTACTTGATATCGTTACCCGAACGCCAATGCAATCAGTGCCAATGTGGTTTTTGCCCTCATGCAGAAGGCGTACATTACTATCCTGCAATCATCGGCCGAGATAGGTGCGGTAGGCAAGTTTTGTTTATTATTGTTTGTGGTCGAACTCATGGCAGATTTTAATGGCTTCTCCTACCCTACAGATGAGCATCTACAAAAAGCGTTGGTGGATTAATCTAGGCAAGAACTGGGGCCTACTGTATTTTGCGCCGATGGTTAGCAGGATTGTATACGAGGGGATTCGGGATACGCGTCTTTGATGTAGCATTCCGTTCAAACTCGATCGCAATCCAATCTGTACTGAGTTCATCCCGGCATACGACCATTAGAGAATAGTGATAGACAGATTTCGAGATTTTACAAAAACGACATTTTTATCGACCCTTGATGACTAGCAACTTTCGAAATCATGGGCCTTATCATACAATTAAATGATGAATTAACGCATAGTAGCAGTTGACAAGTGGTGATGAGAGTACTGAACGAAAAAAAGCGACAGATACCTATCGTCGCCTGCAATCACTGCTAGAGACATGAATGAAACACGATGAGTAGTAACTGTTTTAACAAATCAGATGATGGCGCCTACACATCCATCATCATTACTTTCTTCTCACTATTGAATGGTGCATTCATGGCTCTTGAGACTGCGTATGATTGGCAATTTTAGACGCTGCGTAGAAAACCAACAGCACTACTAATCTTAATTTCGGTATGTACGAGGTTAAACTGGTAGCGAAAAAGAATAAGAGGATTGCGAGCATAGCGACTATGTCCGTAATCACTGTGGCACTGTGGATGTGGAGCACCTAGGACGGCAGCCGGAGCACTCACCATAAAGGTGTGGTCGTTGACATTCAGGATAGCCCCTCACAGTGGGAGATGAGGGTGCCCCGGGTAAGCCCTATTTGTGGAATGTGTGACGGGTGAGCTCTCACTTTCTCGGCGCGGATCCGCTAAGACTGAAGATTATGATCAAGTCTTGGTGTTGGATTGGCGCCCATAAAGGAAATGAACTTTCGTGGGGATAAACAAGTCTGTTTGTAAATCTTTCTGATGGCATTAGCGATAATTATTAAGCCTTAATCCAAAAAATGCGACAATGGACGCTTTGGGCATTACAACGCCACAATCAATTTTGCAGCATGAACCGGGACGCATACAGGGTGTCGAATATACATAATGTGACTGCCACAACAATGGCACGGAACCGACCTTATTGCTTTTAATGTCTCCTGTATAAAATAATAGTAATATGAATTCTGCCTTATTTTAAAAGGCAGTACAGGTACAAGTTAGTTTATGGGATTTGGAAATCATTGATAAAACGTGAGGTCTTTACTCTATCATCTGTGGAATCATGAAGGCATCAAATACAAAATAGTGATGAATGAAATCAGACTACAAACGATTGCACTAATGTGTAGGCGAATCTCTGAAATTGAAGGGTTTTGTTTACAATTCAATTTCATCAAAACCGGTTTATAGAAAAACGGGAAAATGGTAAGTAAACATGCTCCGCTTTAGTAAAAATAGGCCTTCACTACCAAAAAATGTAAACTATGAAAGACGGTGAGTACTTGGTTGCTTGAGCAGTGATAATATCTCAGGAAGGTTGCGTTGAAGAGCTTCTTCATAAGCAGTTGTCCCATACGAGGTCTTCTGCAAAACATCGACCCCGGCTCCTCCTTCGGCCTCTGGGGAAATAAGATAGCGAACACTTTCCAATTGTCGGTGACAAACTGCAGTGTGCAATGGGGCTCGTCCCTGTAAGTCCAGCTCCTGATTTAGTAAAACACGAAAATCAGTGCTTATTTTACTAACTTTTGTAAAACTATGGAAGAGGACTAACTTAGGTTACATATGAAACAATCATACGATTTTGACTGCTTACTTGAAGCGACATCCCAGCCATTTTGTAGAATTGCAGCTGGTTAACCTTGCCCAGCATGGCGGCGTGATTGACCTCTCGTGCTCTCGTTGCTTCTACTGGTGAGAGAGTGGCGCCGTACTGTCGCAGTAGGTTGATGAGTTCGGAACTTGCTTTAGTGCTTCGAATGGCGTGGGTTAGTGGGGTGTAACCAAACCGATCTGTGGAGTTCGGATTTGCTCCCTTCTCCAAAAGTAGTCTGCAAGCCCTCATGTGGCCATTCGCTGCAGCAACATGCAGGGGCCGTCTTTGTTCATTGTCGCAAAACTGTATTGAAAACATAGCGCTGAAATATTATACCCACCGACTATTGCAGTTGTAAAAATAGTTCAAAAAGATGGATTGAAGACTTAGCAACGCTGGAATCATTAGAGTCAAATTGGCAGGAGTTTACTCAATGTTGTCAACAGTCGTAAACGTACTTCTATTATCTGCAGAAAATAAGCGAGATCCAATCGCAGGAGTGATCAGAAACGCACCGAAAAAGAATATTCAACAATGTCATGAAAAAAAGCTTTGCAAGACTGACATAAAGTATTCTACTTCAGAAACGAGTGTCAGAGGATCCAGGATTGCGACAAGTAGTGCCAAAATACCAACCTCAAAATTATGGGTTATATTGCCGAGTTGTTCAAGCACATCACATTCGTTAGCCTCTGCGGCTCCACAGAAGAGGTAGGGAAGGATACGCATAGCCCAGACATTGGCGGGACCATCCTCAGTGGCATTAGAGAGGATAGAGCCGATATGCCCTACCATTTGGGTGATGCCTGCCTGCCCGCTGACTACGTTTCGAAGACTAAAGGCGGGAGTCTCTTTAGGTGCCACCGTCAACTCTGCTGGTGGCAAAGTAACCTCACCACGAAGGTCATGGGTGAGCATGCGCCGCCTCGTTGGCGCGTCCTTGAAGCGTCCTAGCACATAAGCCATTTTCGCTAGCGCAGCCTCAGGAGTCATATCCTGATGAAATGGGGAAATCATGCTTATTCACTCGATCTTGAAGGGATCAACTCCTTCAAAAGGCGCTTTCTGACTCACATAGCCAGGAATGACACCGATCTTTTCGAGAACCGCTCCGGTAGAATACTTAGCCTGAACTGATCCATACCAGCACTGCGTAATGTTTAGCATAATAATTCCATACTTCTCCGTAGCCTCTTTGAAAATATCCAACAGGTCTGAACGCATCGCTGGTACATTACCGGCACCATAAGTTTGCAGAATCACACCTATAGATTTGACAGCATACGTATTGTCACTTAAATTATTGCATATAACCACACAAAAATTCGATATTTGAGATCGCGAACGTTTGAACAGCACCTAAGCTATGGCACTTGATAAACAGCAATTATGTTTAAATTATATGCTTACATTTTTAAGTGCAGTTGCAAAGATTGGGACAGATTAAAAA